CTGTACGTGGGATCCGAACCCTCGGGCGGGAGCGCCGCCGCGCTTCCCAAGCGGCGCACTATCCAGTGCGCCACCGGGCCGGCCCAGTATTATCTTTCAATTCTATTTTTCCATGAACTTTCTCAAGTACCCTTGTATCTCACTCCAGCAATAAATGAGAGCTGCAATTGCCAACACTTGGTATTGTCTGTCTTTTTAATTTTAGCCATTCTAGTGGATAAGAAGTGGTATATCACAGTGGTTTTAATTTGCATTTATCTGATGATTAATGATGTTGTGCATATTTCTCTGTGCTACTGATCATTTGTTTATCATCCCTTTTGAGTGTTTAAATCTTTAACCTATTTTTGAAAAATTAGTTGTTACCTTCTTAGTAAGTTGCAGGAGTTCTTTACTTTGGATATAAGACCTTTGTCAGGCATATGTATTACAGATGTTTTCTCCAGATTTGAAACTTCATTTTCATTTTATTAATGATGCCTTTTGAAGAACAGCAATCTTTAGTTTTAATGAAGCCCAGTTTACAGTTTTTTCTATGGTTAGTACATTTCGTGTCCAAAGAAATTTTGCCTTTTTCCTGTATTTTCTTCTAGAAGGTTTACAGTATTGTTTTTATATTTAGGTCTATGATCTATTTCAAATATGTTTTTCTGTATGGTGTGATGTAGGGAGGTGAGGGTTGAGATTCTTTTTTTTTCATTCTTCCTTTTTTTCCCATTTGGCTATGTGGTTGATTGAGCACTATTTTTTGAAAAAACTATCCTTTCTTCATTGAATCATCTTGGTCAGAAGGTCAAAAATCAGTTAATTAAGAGTGGGTGCTTTTCTGGACTCAAATTCTGTTTCATTGTTCTGGTTACCTCAGTTTAAACCTCAGGTTAAACTGGAGGTTTCAGACATTTTCTAGGTAGGGGCTGGTGAGCTGCAGTGAAATGCACAAATTTTAATTCTCCAACTAACCTCAGGGAGTGTGAATCCTTCCCCAGCCAGAGCTCCATGGCTTTCTTCTTCCAGGGGCTCAAGTGGACCAGTCTGTCTTTGAGGAGCTCATCAGGGAGCACCTCCCAGAGCTGGCAGAGCACATGAACGACCTCTCAGCCCTGGCGTCCATTTCTCTCTCATGGTTCCTGACTCTGTTCCTCAGCATCATGCCTCTGGAGAGTGCAGTGAATGTTGTAGATTGCTTCTTCTACGATGGAATCAAAGCCATCTTCCAGCTGGGGCTGGCCGTGCTTGAAGCCAATGCCGAAGACCTGTGCAGCAGCAAGGACGATGGCCAGGCCTTGATGGTCCTCAGCAGGTGGGCTCTGGCCACTTGCTTCTGGGCTAATTGTGGCTAAGTAGGCAGCAGCTGGAACTCTTCAAGCCCACAGGGGAGGCAGCAGCAAGTGCCCAGCAGTGCCATCGCTGTGGAAGTTTTTGTTCCACTCTGCCTTTTGCCACACTGGGGCCTCCCCATGTGGCACTGTCACTGGTGTGGGGTGAAGGGTGCCATCTTCCCTCACTCCTCTGCACCAAGTGAGAGAGTCCAGGGAGAGGAGGGCTTTCAGTGCTTTTCTCTGAGAAGATTGAGTGGCCTAAGTCTCGATGCACTCAGAGTGTGGCCTTGGACGGGACTGGGGGAGAACCAGGAAATGCGGGCCTCAGGCAGCCAACTGGAGGTTTCAGACATTTTTGTGGGTAGGGGCTGGTGAGCTGCAGTGAAAGAAAGAAAGTCACTCTTGGATGAGTGCAGGAACCTGGCACTCTGGGAGCTGAGGGCAAGTCAAATGACATTTACAGAGGTAGTTCCCTTTTGGAATATTAGGGAAGCTTAAAATTGCACGAGTGTACAGAATTTTGTACTTAGGTCACTAGAGAGGCTCAGGCCCCTGAAACCTCCCCTTGGAGCCCTGAAGATGAGCTCAGTGTCACAGTGTCCCTCCCTTTCCTTGAAGTGAGCAGAGCAGCTGCAGCCTGCCTCCTCCCAGGTGTCGGTGCTTGGAAGTGCTCTGGCACGTCCGCAGCCTGGTGAAGGTGCTGGGTGTTGTGTGGGGCCTGGGTGAGGATAGCCTGGGCTGTGACTGGGTGGTGTGCTCAGGTTTCTAGATCACATTAAGAATGAGGAGAGTCCGGGGCCCACCGGTGGCAGCCACCATGCCTTTTTCTCCGACGACCAGGAGCCTTACCCTGTGACTGACATTGCCGACCTGATCCGGGACTCCTATGAGGTAACAGGAGCCCCTCCCCCACCACCAACACGGTGTTCCCCTTGGAAGTGGGACTGGGAGGTGGACGTGGCAGGAGCTTCCTGGGCTCCTTCCTGTTTCCTCCCTTTGGACACAGCAGGGGACTCTGTGCGTGAATGGGCCCTTGTTCCCCTGCAGAAATTTGGAGACCAGTCTGTGGAGCAGATTGAGCACCTGCGCTGTAAGCACAGGATCAGGGTCCTCCAAGGCCACGAGGACACCACAAAGCAAAACGTGGTGAGTAGAGGACACCTTGAATGGTGCTTGAGGGTGTCGCGAGCTAACCCAGGAGTGTGTGTCCCTTTTGGTCATGTTACATAAAATGCCAGTTTTGTGTTTTGTTTTTTTTGGCACTGAGTTAAAAACTTGATAGGGGTGACACAGTGTAAAAACAGCGTGGGTTTTAGAGTCAAATTGTGAGCAAATTAACCACTGTGAGCCTCAGTTTCCCCAGTTGTAAAATGGGGACATTAATACATCCTACATAGGATTAAATGAGGTGTGGTATGCAAAATGCCTACCACAGATGGCCTGCGGTAGCTATTAGTTGTGATTCAGAAGGATCTTCCTGCCCAAGCTGTGTCTCTGCCAGCTTTTACCTTCCATTATACCTGTGCTTGGGGCAGTGACATGTGACTCAGGAAGCGGTGGAGGCTAAAACACCTGAGAAAGAAACTGTAACATGATCTCTGCATCAGGAAGGACCAGATGCTGCCCCAGTAGACAAGGAGCCATTACATAAGGGAAGCCGGCAGCATGGTAGCCCTTGTGACCCACACCAGGAGGACGACCCTTCCTGCCTCAGTCCCCCCAGGGATGCAGGCCGAGAACTCACTCCAGTGCTGTTTATTCTTTCCTTAAGCTTCGTGTTGTTATCCCAGAAGTCTCCATTCTTCCTGAAGACCTGGAGGAACTCTATGACCTATTCAAGGTATGGAAATCTGAGAAGACCAGGGAAGTATGGGCCCTGAGCCAGGCCTGAGCCTCCAGTGCCAGCCTGCCCAGGGGAGGGGCCTGCCGTGCGCTGTCCCACCTCCAGCGCTGTCTTATCCTTGCCTGCTTGCTTCCACCCGGAAGCCTCTCACCGTCACCCTGCATCAGCAGCTCTCTCCTTAGCTGGCATGACATCCTCCCTGGAGCCCAGCCCCAGCCTTGCATCTGCGAGGAAGGAGCCAGGGTGCAGCCCATGCGCTGAGGCTGCTGTGCTCTGCTCAGAGGGCGTCGGGCTGTGATCTGTTCTAATTAGTGCCATCCTAGTAAGTGTGGGGTCTATACTAGATGGAGCAGTGGCCCTTCCTGAAGTTGTCACCTGATGCACTTTTTAATTCCTCATGATTCCACAGTATATGTTTACTTGTTTTTATACTTGTTATATGCATGCTAGTTCATACCTAGTAAGTGTGGGGTCTATACTAGATGGAGCAGTGGCCCTTCCTGAAGTTGTCACCTGATACACTTTTTAATTCCTCATGATTCCACAGTATATGTTTACTTGTTTTTATACTTGTTATATGCATGCTAGTTCATATTTTCTCCCTTGATGCTATTATTATTAACACTCTTCCATGTTGCCATGTAGTCTTAATTAATTTTGAATAACTATAGTTTGTCATATCAGTGATACTTAATAGAGTAGAACAGCTTTCTGATATTTGGGTATTTAGGTGGAGTCCCAGGGGTTGCTACTTAAATCATCCTGCAAAGAACATGTCCGGGCACCTTGCTGGAAGTTTGCTCCCTACTCTGGCAGAGAAGGGGGAGGAGGCACAGGTGCAGAAAGCAAGCCTCACGTGGGAGAGAGCACAGCTTCCGGCGCTCTTCCTGGGGGGGTACTCTGTGCCCCCCGCTTCTGAGCTGAGATGCCGAGTAACTGAAATAGCAGTGAACAGCAGCATAGGTGCTTCTGAAGCGCGGCTCTGGAGTTGTTGGAGCCCCTCGTGTGCCTGGAGTGGGCCTTTCCCTGCAGCTGCTGAAATGGGCTGTTGGCTAAGTGGATTTCTGGCACTCCTAATTCCTAATGAGCAGGATGTGTGGTGAGAACTAGCAGGCCTGTCTCCAGTAAACATCGCCTGTTTGCAAGTTTCATAGTTTCCTTTGTTGTGTGAGGACAAAATACGAAGTCAAAGGTTAGTTGGTGCCCCAACCTCACCAGCGTCTCTTTAACTTTCAAGGAGGAAAAATAGGGAACACTGGAAACTTAATAAAAACAGGGAAGCAAGCAGTGTGGGTTTTTTTTAAAAGCTTCTAAAAGACTTTCATTTATTCAGGGCTATCTGTTCTCAATTTGAAAGAATAGGAGACATCACAAACCCAAATTTATGTAATTTAAAGGATGGCTTAAAGTTAACAATAAAAATAAATTTTGTTAGTACCAACCACATTGTTCATCTTTAATAGAGAGTATTTAAAGAAGATAGTCAGAGTTGACTTGCTTGTTTGCAATTTCTGTCTTCCCTGTTAAAGATGAACAGTGTGTTCGGTACTTAATGAAATTTATTATCGTATTTATAGTTAGCCCCACATAAATGAAAGACTTGTAGGGGTAACTATAAACACAAACTAAAAAACTGTAAATACAAGATAATTTTCAGAATGCACTTCCAAGAGAAACTCAGTAAAATGGCATCCTAGTCACGATGTCTGATTCCATTGCGCAACCCGAGGCGCCTTCTTTGCAAGTCCACACCTACCTTTCTCCAGGCCCCACGTACCAGCCCTCTCAGACTGTTCTTTCCCTTCATGGCCTTGACCTCTGAATTTCCATGGTTTTGATAGTCTGGTTTCACGGAGTGTAATATTCTGAAACCTAAGTCCCGTGGGGTGTGATGTCTTCTAGCTGGGCTTTACACTCACCTCTTCTGAACCAGAATTTCATCCTCTCAGGTGCTCTCACCATGTCGGAACACCCTTCCACTGTTCTGTGAGTATGTGATAGGTTCTTCACAGGAGTCCGTTCCTTAGCATCATTCCATCCTTCTCTAAGCCTGGAATATACAGGCATGAATGTTCTCTGTGTTAACAAGCAAACGGGCAGCTCTGACTGACAATTTTATTTTTATTTATTTTTTGGCAGCTGGCTGGGAAGGGGATCCAAACCCTTGGCCTTGGTGTTATAACACCACACTCTAACCAACTGAGCTAACTAGCCAGCCCTGGCCAACTTCTTTAAACACTCTTTCCATTAAAGATGAATGATGTGGTTAGTACTTAACGAAGTTTATTTTTATTGTCAGATTAAAGCTATCTTTTAAACTGCATAAAGTCAGATTTGCAATATCTTTTCTCTCAAATTGAGAACAGATTCATGAAATAACGTTATCTTTCCAAGTCGGATGTGAACAATGTAAACACAGGCTCGGCGTCATAAACTACTCCTGGGAACACCCGGGGCCTCATGCAGGGCCTTATGTTCTTCATAGACACACTCTTACTCTTGACCAGTTGAATTCGTCCGCTGTTGCTGGGTGATCCTGCTGGAGAGAGCATTTGCTCTCTTTAACCTTATTTTGCTTTCTTTCATGTTCTGGGTAAGACTTTTGTTTCAAAATTTAATTGAAAGACACAAAGAAAAGAAAATTATACTGACTCTCACCTATATAAAAAGAAAAATTAAACTTTAGAGCAAGAAATTAAAGGACCTTACCCTGGCTGCCCCTCTGATCCTCCCTTGTACAAGTAATGACTGGTAACAATATGCTGAATATTCTCCTAATATCTCCCCTTTGTATTATATTTATCTGGAGCTGCACGCATGTATACAGTGTACGCACACACACACACCCACCTCTTTTCCCCCACATGAAAGTGAAGTTGTGTTCTGTACAATGGCCTGCAGTTTTTTTTTCAGTTGACGTTCATGGACTTCTTTTCTAGATCAGTTTCTACAGATCTTTTCTCATTCTTTTTTAATGACCGCACAGTTTCCCTGTAGGGCTGAACCATGAGTTACTAACCGTTCACCTGTTGAGGGACGTCTTTGTCGTTTTCAGTTTATTCTACTTTATAAAAAGCACTGTGCTGAGCGTCCTGCGCATTTATCTGGACACCAGTGCTGCTGTTTCCGTAGGATGGGTTCCTCAAGGAGGAACTGCTCAGCCGTGGAGGATATACATACCAAATTTTAGTCAGTACTGCTAAAGTATTTTTGATTTTTCCAATTACAGTTCCACTGATGGCATCTAAGAGGGCTCATTTCCCCACAATTTACACCCACCCAGCATTTAATATTGTGGATCTCTTAAAATTTTGCTAGTCTGGTAGAAAATTGCATTTCATTTAAATTTAAACTTGCTTACTCATTAAGGAGGCGAGTAGCATTTCTTAAGTTTACTGGCTAATCATATACTTGTTTGAGTCACCTGTTCATATCCTTTGTCTTTTTTTATGTTGGTTTGTTTCTTTGTGGGATTCTATGTCAACTAGTTGTGTTAGTCCTGGGCTTATATATCACAACCATTTTCTTTTGTGCAGCATCTTATGGGCCTTTAGTTTGACAGTATGCACAAATATACGTGAAAATTCATTGTGTGTCTTGGGTTTTTAGGAACGGAAATTTATTAGACCTTTGTTTCATACTTAAAAGTTCTTGTGCTACTTTTCACAATGCTGTAATGGCTGTTTAAAGAATGTAGCTGCAGTGAATATGGCAGTAAAATTAGGAGCGTCATTTTGCTTTCCACCTAAGGATGTGAGCTTTACTTACTACAGCATCTGCACTTGCTCCCGTCCTGTCCTATGGAAGGAGGGGACTGACACTGTAAAGGACCCTGCAGTGACTGGGAACCGTTTCAGGTTTTTGTGAGTTGAGATGTTTGAAGAAGGGATTTAGTACGGGTGTAAACAATGCAATCTAGAGCAGCTAACCTGGTCCAGTGTGACAGGGCAAGTTCTGATTATTTGTTTTTCATTATTCCCAAGACTTCAACTTGCCTTTTTTTTCACTTTTACTTTTTAAAATTGTTAATATATTCATGTTGGTTCAAAATTCAGAAACTATAAAAAACACACAGTAAAAAGTCTCACTTCCACCTGTGGTCTCTACCCCCGCTTTCCCCTCGTCACAGGTAGCCAGTGTTACAAGTTCCCGTTATACCCTGTAGGTTCGTCTAGTCCTTTTGATTTACACATAGTAAGTGAAAATATCAGAATAAAAATTGTCTTCTATAATTAAATCTATGTGTGCTGAACTGTACATTTAAAAATGGCTAAAATGGTAAATATATGTTATGTACATTTTACCATAATGAGAAAAAAATGGAAACCTTAATAAAAAAGAAAAAAAAGGATGTCACGTGAGCAAGAGCACAGGGTAACAAAGAAGCACTTCTACGCCTCTGGCTAGAGGGGTGGGACTGTGAGTAATTTAATGTTTTTTTTATTTGTTCGTGAAATAAGGGGCTTCCTCAGTAAGCAGGGCTAGGAGCCAGGCGGGAGGGTGGGCAGGGAGGGCCAGGCGTGCCTCCCTGGCCGCCGCCGCCCACAGCCGCCCCCTCGTTTCAGAGAGAGCACCTGCTAAGCTGCTACTGGGAGCCACCATGCCCGCTGTCCCCGCGCCATGACCCAGGCAGGCCCTACGCCGAGCAGTACCGCATAGACGGCCGGCAGTTCGCGCGCCTGTTCCAGCTGGTCTCGCCGTGGACCTGCGGGGCCCACACCGACATCCTGGCCGAAAGGACCTTCAGGCTCCTGGATGACAACATGGACCAGCTCATCGAGTTCAGAGCCTTTGTGAGCTGCCTAGGTATGACCATGGGTCTTGATCGCAGTGCGTTGGGTTGGGGGGTGAGTGTGACCAGAAGACAAAGTGGATTGTGGAAGTGGGCAGAGCCGCACAGTGAAGTGCGTTTGCACCTGGCCTGGCCTGGTTTCATGACTTTTCGATCTCATTCTGCAGGCTCCTCTCAGGGGCACTTTTATGCTGCCTTGAACATGTGGGGAAGTGGGGCCCAGGCCCTCCACACACAAGGTCACTGTCCTTGTTCTCCTGGCACCCAGGGTGGCAGTGGCTTATCCAGAATCATATTCTTAACCTTTGTCCATAAAATTAAGATCCTTTAAAACATACAAGGCCCCAGACAGCATTCATGAGGTTACCTTTCAGCTCAGATGTCACCAGCTACTGCCCTCACCATTTATACCGCCATGTCTGGGGTGGGGGCAGCAAGTATTGCCCTTGCGGAGGTCTCTCTCCATAGTGAGTTTGTGTCATGACAAGTGTCCTTTAACCGTATGCATGGACTTAATCTCTCTCTTTTTAAAAACGTTTTGCAGATATTATGTATAATGGAGAAATGAATGAGAAAATTAAACTGTTGTACAGGCTTCACATTCCTCCAGGTAAGAAAGTTCAACTAGAAAAATCAGGCTGCGCTCTGCTTCAGCACAAGTTCAGTTTTGTGCACGACACTCAAGTTCTTCTCTTCTCAAATTTCATTTGGATCTGAGGCAACAGATGCTTCTAGTTTGGGGTTTCAGATCACAGATTTTACGCACGGTACCGCGTGGCCTAGGGCAGGGATTCCCAAACTTGAGCATGCCTCAGAATCACCTGGTGGGCTTGTCCGACCAGGTTATGGGCCCAGCCCAGATTTCTGACTTGCTGGGCCTGAGGACCACACTTTGAGAACCACGGCCTGTGGAATGTGTTGGGGAGCCAGACCCTGTTGACCTTAATAGGTGGTTATTTTAGGCTGCTGTTTTCGAAGGACCATTTCCTTTTTTCAGCACGTAAGACCCTGCTTCCTTCAGATTTAAGCCGTGGTAACCAGGAACAGAGGAAGCCGTTTTGAAACCTAATGAGGTCAGACTTGACGTTGACAGGAACAAGAACAAGGAAACCTATTGAGGTGTTCCTTGGTCTTTATAACTAATAGAGATGTGTTAGAAATCTCTCAGGACCCCAGTGCTGTGCTTCTAGATGATTCCTGTGACAGAACTTCCAGTGACGAGGCTGGTGGGTGGGCTTCAAGGGGGCTTCCAGGGCCCTGAGATGCTGGTGGCTTGGAAAAGCGAGGAAAGCATATACGGCAGTTTTTGAAAATGTGCGTGGATATTTTCCGAGGGCTTTGTGGGCACACTTCCTGCAATGGGCCGTTACTGAGTGGGCATAGGATGCCTTGGGCACAGTGTCCCCAGTGAGCTCTGCTGGCCCTGCACAGCCCCTCCTCACCCTTCCCATGCACCTGTTATTACTTTAGTGCAAATTATTTAGCATCAGTGAAGTTCTCTGCCTTTTATGCCAGTTTGTTATTGAGTTTTATTTCTGATTTAATTTGCCCTATTTCTCACAAATGTTTTTTTGTAACATAGAAGACATGCATAATTATTCCTTTATCATCATCATTGTCTTTTCATAATTACCCTGTTCTATATCTGGTATTCCTAAATAGAACATGTTTGATTTAATTCAATTATTTCATCTTGATATTTAAATAAACTTTTTATCTTGGATTTGTCTTAGATTTATAAGGAAGTTGCGTAGATAATACAGGTAGTGTTTCCCTCTGTGTGTTTTAAAATTCATTGTTGGCTTCTGAATTATCATTTGAGATTGATTTTTTTCTTTTTAAAAGATGACCGGTAAGGGGATCTTAACCCTTGACTTGGTGTTGTCAGCACCACACTCTCCTACGTGAGCCATGGGCCCTGAGATTGATTTTTGATTCTTGATCTGACTTTATAATGAATTATTTTGTTTCCAAATTTTAAGTTTATTTCTATAAGACGTTTTAATTATATTAATTTATTTAAAAAGCATTTGTAGGCTTTCATGGTTTCAGAAATTCAGTTTTTCAAAATCTTTTTGAACATATATGATTGTAATATTTATACTTTGTGACTCTGAATTTAAATTCCTAAATTAAATGGAAATTAAGATTTGACATATTGTTTATGTATTTTTAATATTTGAATTTTTGATTCAGTTAAGACAACCTAGAACCTCTAAAAAAATCAGTTTCCTGAGGCCTTGAAGACTCATCTATGTTTAGATACTTTTTCATTTAAATAGATTTAATTTTAACAAATACTTACCTTTTACTTAATTTTAACAAGTACTTCCCAGTATAATGAATAATTTTTAAATTAAAGATAGGACAAACATGCTAGTCAGGAAAATAATTTTTAAATAACTGATTAGGAAGTAGAATGAGGATTATTTCAAATTTGAATTTGTGTCCCCAAAGAATTCTCTTAAGCCTAAAGTCTTATTTGCCTGTGGGAGGCTTGGGTACTAAACAAAGTACATTAGCACCTTGCTGCAAACACCCGCCTTGTGCCTTGCGCCTTGCGCCTTGCGTAGAGGAAGCTTGGTGTTCTGCCAGAGTAATAGAAGAGACAAAGGCCTTTTGTAAGCCTGTTTATAAAGGTATCTGGTGCAACTCGGGAAACACTGAAGAGCCAAAGGCCAAGACCTCACACAGTTCCAGAAAAGCTCACTTTATGGCTCTGCAGTGACTGCAGCACTGTTTAGCACAGGAACTAGAAAAGAAATATTACAGGTGATTTGATACCATGTGTTGGGAAAATAAGACTGGTTTGGTCAGGGCCCTCGCCTTGGGTCCAGTTGGGTGTGGTTCAGCATCCTTTGTAAGCAAATTGTGTGTGTGTGTGTGTGTGTGTGGTTAGTGTGCATTGTGTGCCAATGTATCTTTTTAGTTTTGTTGCTATTGTGTTATCTTGAGAGACAGGGAGGGAGGGAGGGGGAGAGTTTTAGTGAGGCAGGAGTGTGGGCGTCCGCCTCCGGCATCCACCCCATGCAGCCCTACTTTCCAACCGATGGCTCCAAGGACCTTTTGGCCGGTTACCTAGCTCATAGACCTGCGTGTGAGGGGACTGGTGACCCAGCCTGGCGTATGAAGGGTTTGTGACCCAGTCTGTGAATGGGCTTGAGGGGTCTGTGGGCTCCCAACCCAGCCCTAGCTCAGCAGTCGGCCCAGTCAGCAGGATTACTGCAGGTAAAAGAGCTCAACAACTGGTGTGGACGCCTAGATTTATAATTGGTATAACGAGCAGGATTAAGAGCTAGACAATTGGCGATGTCTACAGGATTCCAGACAGTAGCACTGTGTCAGGTGATATGGAGACGAAGAATATTCCATAAGATTATGAAATCAAGTTTTCATTGCAAATTGATAAATCTACAGCTATTGGTTCTTTTGCTCAGTTAATTATACTAATTGGATTTCCAGAACAGAACTTCTTGGAAAAACGTTATTTTTATTGGAAAGAAACATCAAAAACACAGCTGGGAAGTTAGCTCAGTTGGTTAGAGAGTGGTGTAATAACACCAAGGTCAAGAGTTCAGATCCCTGTACCGGCCAGCTGCCAAAAAAAGAAAAAAGAAACATCAAAACAAACTACTGAGAATGGTGTAGTGGAGACGGCCAATGAACACACACAAGTGAGATATTTGGAGGCTTTCTGAAAGTTTGTATACTGAGTGCAGGGCTGCAGGGACACCCGACATCACCAGTTCCTTCTGGAAACTGAGATTCAGGGGAAATGTTTTATTCACAGAATAGCTCTCTAGAAGGTTTGCCTGCTTGTCTGGATCCACATTAAATGATGTTCTTAGAATGAATCTAATACAGTTCGAGCTGATCCAGTCTTTGTGTTCAGCTTTATGTAAAGAAATAGAGAGGTTCCTGAGGTCTTATACATAACCAAGTGCATTTGCTGTCCAGAGAAAGAGTTCTTCCAAGAAGTTGAGCTAAAAAAAAAAATCTTTTGAATAATTCCAATTTGCAGTCTGGTTAAGAATAACCTGAATTTTAAAAAGGAATTAAAATGTTGAAAACCTGAATGAATTTAATTGAAAATTCAAAGAGCACATGAAATTATATTAACATGTACTGACAAAATATGGATTCAAAGCAGAAATTCAACTTAGAAAAGTTACAAATGCTTTGTTAGTGATGTTTGGTCAGTGTTACATACAGATGAGTACAGCAATATGTGGATGAAAGAAGGAAAGCTTTGTTATTTTTAAATACTTGATATGAGAAAGTGTTAATTGAATTCCAAATCTATTCACATTAGCCAAAACAATGTCAACATTACAGTTGTCAGCGAAAGAAAGGGAGGATCTGGTTGATACACAGAATGATCACATGCTTGAAGTACAAGAAAGGACTTCCCATCAAGTGGAGGAAAATGCCATTTGCTTCCACCTTCTTGTCCAGACAGTTTCTTACTGGTGGTGACAGTCTGTTTTGAAGAGGTCATCATTTTAAAGTCTTAATGAGAACTTAAAATATTGAATGGCATATAGCCATTTCAATATTAATATTAGTATGAAAATTAATATTAAAAAGTCTCAAGTATGCCAAGATTTCAGTAACATTTGATCCTTTTTGTTACTTGACACTTCATCACTTGTGATAAAAGAATGTACCTTGGAAGTTCATTAGTTAGAATGGATCTGCTTTCCAAGCCTCTGCACTACAATTGGACATATATGAGATTTTTGCATGGCATGGCCTGCTTTGCCAAGAGTAGCTGCAGATGTAATGATAGGTACTGATATATACAATCATAGATTTCAGACTATTTGCTGGGGGTGAAACCTTAATGGTGTTATGGAATGCGATATTATGTGTTTGAAATTAACATCAACAAGACCAAAGACACAGAGCACGTGACTACTCCTGAGGCCTTAAGAGGAAAGTTTGGCACTAAAATTACACCCACCGTATTGGTTCTTCACCGTTCAATCAGCCTTTCCTTATGGCCATATAATACTGAAGATAAACTCTATAAACTTGTTTTTGAGAATGTGCCAGCATGTCAAAATCTCTATTGGAACCCAAGAGGCACTAAAATTACACCCACCGTATTGGTTCTTCACCGTTCAATCAGCCTTTCCTTATGGCCGTATAATACTGAAGATAAACTCTATAAACTGTTTTTGAGAATGTGCCAGCATGTCAAAATCTCTATTGGAACCCAAGCAACCAAAGGATCCCTGCACTGCTCTAAGGACCAAAGTAGTAATGGGAATGGCCCAAATGGCATACATGGAAAAGGGCCACCAAGTGAAATGAAGCAGATAAGCTAAATGATGAATCCAGCCAGGATTTAGAACTTCCCTCAGAGAGTGAAAGTCGTTCTGAACATTCAATTGGATGAGATGATGATTCCGAAAATCGATGATGGATTTAGGAAATTTGCAGAGGTCGACATCTCACAGGACACAAACAATGATGTTTACATTCCAGTTTAACAATTTAGGCAATCAGTATCAGCTACATCAGAAATGGAACCAGGCTGTTTGATCTGATGGTAGGCAGCTTAGGCTAGATGGAAGATCTGTTCTGGCTTTGGGTTGGGATCCTGAGTTGAAAATGCCACTGAGGAGTCAGGAAAACATGGAAGTGTAGAATATAAACTTCCTAAAAATTTCTTGTGAAATTAGAAGATTGAACTCTTTTCAGTAAAAGAAAAGCAAAAGGCTGAAGATCCCTGGTATTATCCAAAGTGACAAGAAGCCACTAAGAAATTGGATTTATGACTGCTGCCTCCAGTAGATACTGCATCGCAAGTGATTGTTTTGCAGCGGATACTTGAGAAACAATTTGGACAGCATAGTTGATTTTCCTATCAGTGACTTGGCTGTGTCAGAATCCCTAAATGCAAGTCCTTGCTGCCATAATTTGATTGCTGTTTCCATCCACTGTGGAGGGAGGGAAGCCGTATTCTGGGGGTTGGCTGGCCTTTCTGGCTCTTGCTGGTAATTTACCTGCCTCCTTTGTGGACATTCACCCACCCCCTGAATTAATCACTTTCTCTTCCGTGCCCCCATCACATTTGTGCATATCGGTTTTGTCATTAGAGCATTTTGTTAGTGATTCGTGTACACATTTTCCCTTTCTGGTACACCGAGCTCTTTGGCTTCCTGGAAGCTATCACCTAGCAAATCTGTTTCCATCCTGACTGCTCCGAGTAGCATTCAGGGCTTATAACTGTCCCTCCATTCTGTTTCCGAGTGGATTCTCACAGAAGCCACTGCATAGAATTTGTTTTGGGCACAGTTGGAAAAAAGTCACTTAATATCTTTGTTGTAAGAAAAAATGTAAACATCAGAAAAAGAAGAAATGAACAAACAAATCCCCTTAAATTCCTAAAACCCAGAAACCTACCTCCCAAGTAGGAAAGAACGTAGCTTACCAAATCTTTGGCGCCATCGCGTGGAAATTTGCTGAGTCACAACTGAATTTTGCCTTTTATTCTCAGTGAATGACTTAACTCATAAGTTCCAACCTTTTTAAAATATGAGGATCCTTCCTTGTCATCCCCCTGATAATTGTTATTTGGTGACAGCTTCATTGGGCTACAATTCACATACCACGTAAGTCACCCATTTAAAGTGTACAATTCAGTGATTTTTCTTATATTCAAAGTTGTGTGACGATCACCAAAGTATTTTAGACCATTTTCACCACCATAGAAAGAAACCTCTCACCCACCCTTCAGCATCAGTTTTCCCCAACTCTAGGAAACCTGCTGTTTCTATAGATCTGTCTGTTCTGGGTGTTTCATATAAATGGAATTGATATATTTGTATTTGACTTCTTTTACTTAGCACATTTTCAGAATTCATCTGTGCTGTAGCATGTATCAGTGCTTCATTCCTTTTTATGGCCAAATCATATTTCGTTGTAAGCTTATGCCACATCTTATTCATCAGTGGATGGACATTTGGGTAGGTTTTTGGTTCTTGCAAACAATGCTGCTGTGGATATTCATGTGCAAGTTTTCTTGTGAACATATGTTTTCAGTTATCTTGGGTATGTACCTAGGAGTGGGATTTCTGGGCCAAATGGTAACTCTATGTTTAACTTTTTGAGGAACTGCTAGACTGTTTTCAAAAGTGGCTGAACCATTTTATATTCCTACCTGCAGTGTATGAGGGTTCTGATATAATTTTATTTTTAGTGTGCTTCAAGAAAACTCATTATAAGATGCTGCTTTGAATTCAGTAAGGCTTTTTTCAAAATTTTAAAGAAATTACATAAGTATAGCAGTGCTCGTTATAAAGTAACAATATCATGAAAAGTTTAAAATAGTTACCAATTATTCCACAATCCAGAAATCGAGTGCATTTATTTCTAGACTAACTAATATGTGTATGTACATATCTTAGTTTTACAAGATGGGGTTTTACTACATACCTTTTTCCAGGCCAACATCAGCAATGTCCTTCTATGAATTTGCATGTTATTAATTACAACAGCATTCACATCTACCTGGGAAAGGAACACTTGGTGTGTAAGTCATTATATTGACTGTATCCAGACAGTGCTTGGTATGCATTTGGGTTCATGGATCCTGCAAAGATTCTGCAGCCCACAGGTTGGGAGCTGCTGGTTTAGACTTTAGCTCTTTCTTATTTAAAAAGCTAAATTACTCTGCCAGTTTTGGTTAGCCAAAAATTTTGAATTAAAATATCTTTTTTTTTTTTTTTTAAAGCACTCACTGAAAATGACCGAGACAGCCAATCACCATTAAAGAATCCTCTGTTGTCGACGTCAAGACCCCTGGTTTTTGGGAAGTCCAATGGCACGTACCTCTCTTCATTAACTTCCCCCAGGCACAGCACCACAGTGCTTGGGAGGCACTCGGTGGCCCTCACTGCCCTTCTTGTGGCAGCCTTGACTCTTCCCTCCCTCCTGTGATTAACACTGAGCCCAAACCTTCCAAGTGGAAGTGTTGCCAGGTGCCTTCCTGTTGTGGCTGTTTCCTGGGTCCCCCAGCTACCACACCCTATCCGTGGTCAGTTATAAAACACTCTCTGCAGTGGAATCTGTTGCTTTTCAGTTTTATATGGAACTTGCTTAGTGGGATTCCTCATCCGTTCCTATCCCCTCCAACATATTTTCCTTTTTGCTTTCACTGAATTTATTTAAACTATTTGTTTTCCTTTGTCTCAAGGTGATGCAATTGATTATAAGAAACAGCTGAAGCAGATGATTAAAGATTTAGCCAAAGAAAAAGATAAAGCTGAGAAAGAGTTACCAAAAATGAGCCAGGTATGGACTTTCTTCTGTGCAGATAATGAACTATTTCGCCAAATGATTTTGTCAAGTGATTAATTTGATACTTAAGCTTGGGCTACTTTACCTCCGAAGTCCAGGATCTTTTACCTTTGGGGAGCTGAGCACTGTGCGGACTAAATGGGGAATATTTAAATTGTGGTCAGTTCAGATATTCAGGTACTCAAAGCTCTTCAGAACAGGAGGTTGCTACACACTTCATGTCTTTGAAGAGTCTTTATATCAAATTCGTTTATCCAAGTTGTGAAGATTTATTCCTTAGGGTGATAGAAGCATTGGGGAACACATTTTCCCTTAAAAAGTACTCTCTCCATTTTCTTGAAAATCATTGACTATATGATATACACTACTGGTATGAATCTCCAAAACCTCTATTTTCCAGAAAAGTGTTCTGTGCTACACTCAAGTGTGGTAGTTTTTGTTTTGAATTTGAAAAGGGGTCCTCACCATATTTGGGAAATGTAGGCTTAAAGTTAAAATTGCTCCTTTATAACAGGACTATGTCATTTTGGTGCTGTGTACTGTGAGCCTTCAAGAATGGAATTTAGCACGCACTGTTTCTCGGTGTCCTCACCATATTTGGGAAATGTAGGCTTAAAGTTAAAATTGCTCCTTTATAACAGGACTACGTCATTTTGGTGCTGTGTACTGTGAGCCTTCAAGAATGGAATTTAGCACGCACTGTTTCTCAGTTTTTTTTTTACCACAAGACATCTTGTGGGATTAGTATTTCATGGCATATTTGAGAAATGCTGCTTTGTCTACTCTGTTGGAGAGTTGCTTTCAGATTTTCATTCTACTCCTTGGGTATACAACAGTCAGTCCAATCTCGTCCCCAGAGCTGTCAGTATTAATGTTTTGATAAACATAACTTTTTTTTTTGCTATAGATAACGTTTTAGACAAAAATGGGTGTTGATGCCTGCTTTCCTTTACTTCAAAATAATCATGGATATTTTCCCCAAATCATTAAATATTTGTTAAATTAGGAGTTCTCAACCATCTTTCTATTCCTAGAGTAATTGTGTAGCAAATCCCACCTGAAGCATCCCTCATCACGTTACATTGATTCTCAATTTCAGCAGAAGTGTGTGCATAATTTGAGAAAACATCAAGCATCACTGTTCAGTCTTTACATCCTGCATGGTACTCCCAACATAATTTTATTTAATCATAACATTTCAGTTGTCTCCAAAGTTGCTCTTATAAACTCTAACTTAAACATCCTTTTTATAGATAAATCTCTATGCATAGTTCTGGTTTCTTTGAAGACATTTCTGGACGTTGACTTGTTGGGTCAAAGGGTGTGTACCTCCTCTTGGAAGGTCTACACATTTCTTAGTAATAGTTACCGTACAGAAAAATAGCACACTTTTAAAGTGTGTCAAAATTCCCTGGAGTTACCAACAGTGTTTTCAGAGTGGAAGGACAGAGACCTCCTTTTCTTATATTCTTCTCATTCAAAAGTACTATGTGCTTTTTTCAAAAAATAAAGATTTTAAAAAATACATTGTACTTCCATCCTGGTTCTTCTATGTATGGACTTTTTTTTTTTTTTTAATTCCAGAGAGAATTTATCCAGTTCTGTAAAACTTTGTACAGTATGTTCCATGAAGATCCAGAAGAAAACGACTTGTATCAAGCCATCGCCACAGTCACCACCCTGCTGCTGCAGATCGGGGAAGTGGGGCAGCGCAGCAGCAGCTCGGGGAGCTGCTCCCAGGAGTGTGGGGAGGGGCTGCAGGCTTCAGCCCCTTCTCCTGAGCAGGACTCGGTTTTTACAGACACCAGGAAGACTCCCCAGGACTCCCAAGCATTTCCTGAGGAGGCAGAAGGGGACTGGACTGTCTCCCTTGAACATATTTTAGCATCACTTCTGACTGAACAGTCACTAGTAAACTTTTTTGAAAAGCCACTAGACATTAAACCCAAACTTGAAAATGCCAAGATCAATCAGTACAGTCTCAAAACTTCTGAAGTGAGCCACCAATCACAGCCTGAACTCAAGCTGAGTAACCTGTAGCAAGATAGTAGTTTGCTGTGGAGTACACTGGAGTCTGCCATACCAAAGCACACACCGTTTCTTGGGTTGTCAGCCCATAGCCCAGATTTCAGTCGAATTCATTTTGAGTACACTTTACAGGCCGAGTGTCTAGAGAAGCAACTTGACAGAACCATGGCCAGAGGAACTGATGTAACCCTCAAGCATTTCTATTTATTCAAGAGAATTGTCAGTGTCATGGATGTCCATCAGTTCCCTTGACACTGTGACATGCAATTTCACTTTATCAGATTTGTTGAAAATGGGCCTTCTGCTGTGATTCTGGTTTGATTTTGTTCTCAGATGACACACAAGTTGGATGTGCTGCTCTGAGACAAAAGCCCCAAGCACTCATTTTTTTACTTGGAATGGTAATGGGAGAGGGTCGAGAATCAAGTTCAGTTTCAAGATCTAAGCCACTACCTGTGCAATTGTATTTGGCTTTTTTTGCACTAATTTTGTTTCAATGCTGGTAATTGAAACCATTTTAATATATTTGGTTGTATTCACTTTGTATGTCCCTCCAAAAATGTTGTGTACAAACCATGCTTTCCATGTTGGCCTCCCAAGTTTTTTAATAAGAAACTTTTTTTTGTATTGACTTGGTCCTATTCTTTTAGTGTCTTAAAGGTATAGACTTGTGCCAGTGAGTGGATGGACAAGCTGGAGGTGTCTCCTCCTGGCCACCTGCTCTGTGGCTAGAGTGATACCCTGTAGGTAGTCCTCAATCCTACCTTAGCCGAGCACTTACCATCACCAACACGGCTTCCAAAAGGGACCTCTTTATGGCAGTATTTCATATGAGGGTACTTCAAAAAGTTCACAGAAAAATAGAATTAAAATAAACAAATCTTTCCATGAACTTTATGAAATATGCTCATGTCAGTGGTGTAAATGATGGTGAAATACAATCTCTGTAACACCTTGCTTTAAGGTTGAATTTAACATTTTTGTTATTGTAACCTTAAGAAACTACTTCTGAACCTTAGCTTCATGTAATCACAACTAAAAACTCACAGGGCCATTACAAATAAGTGAATTAACATATGGAGTGTACCTACAAATTAAATATAATCTGGTTACCCAATCAAAAATCAATTATTTTAGAAGACAAGTATAGTCAATACAGATGTAGGCAAAAATTAAGATACACTGCTATGTGTATTTTAATCGAAGATGCTTTCGACTGTATCACTTTAGAGTTGTTTCTTAACATGTGAAGTGGCCAATGACATTGAATGGCCACTACATGGCCATTCTGTAAAACTTTGTACAGTAACACTACATGGCCATGTCTACATGCTGGTGTCTGAAAAAATGTTTATCTTAGAATTAACAAAAAACATTAATATCATACCTCTAATTTCCCAACTGCCTAGAACAGTGATTCTAAATAAGCTGCTTAGACTCTGTCCAAATAATCAAACTCCAGGGGACTGGGAGAAGGGAGCCCTGGCTTCATTATTTAGGAAAAGCTCACCAAATGATCCCATAATTGGGAACTGCTTTAGGATATCCAAGCACAGTATGTTGCAACTAGAAATGGAAAACCAAAACACAAAGGTGGTTTTCTAACTTTATTTGACAATCAGCAGTTAGTTCTCATCCACATTGACTGTCTGCAGATCTGTAAAAGAAGGGACAGTCAGCCAGCTTTCCCTACCCACAATCACACTTCATATCTGAACCCTCCAAAAACTTTATAGAAGTGTCTGGGGCAAGTAGTAGCACTGAATTTTCAATGACCTTTTTACAACCCAGCTATGGACCAGTTTTCTATTCTTTTGCGTTTTCCCATGCGAAGACAACATTTTAAAAAAGGTATAATGAGGTGGTGCTTGGTTAGCTCACTTGGGAGACTGTAGTGCTGGTAACACTAAGGTCAAGGGTTTGGATCCCCATACCGGCCAGTGGCTGAAATAAATCCATTAAAAAAAAAAAAAAAAAAGTATGATGAGATGATGATACCCATTACTCATATCCCTACTGGGAGGTTACCAGACATATAGGTGCACAATAATTATCTGCTGGCCAGATAAACTCAGGTTATAAAAGGCTGAGAACTTTTTTCTAAAGTAATTTTAACGGCTTTGTGGGATGGAGTGAAACTTACTTTTGAAGGTGGTAACAGGTACATAAGTAACCAAAGTATAGAGCTTGTTTGGTGAATCTTCATCCTCGTTACGTTTTCTGGACAACCGCACACGGATACGGTATGGGACATTCCTAATAAAAAATATATATGTGTTGTTAAAGCCAATGCCTCCTTTCACGAAAACAGGTACCAGCTGCATTCATGCATCCCATTCTTTCTTCTAATGCTCTGTCCTTTGCTCTAATCTGACCAACCAGCCATTTACCAGTTCCCTGGAAAATAAAGCATCTCCCCCCAGGCTGTGAACATTAAATCTTGTCCTCTCAGGATGCATACCTGGTAAGACACGTTAGGGCAGGCCCCAATGACATTCTAACAATCTTAGCAGAAGTGTGGGTCCAAATGTGCTAGGTCTTTTGCCTCTACCACCAGCATACCTGGTAAGACACGTTAGGGCAGGCCCCAATGACATTCTAACAATCTTAGCAGAAGTGTGGGTCCAAATGTGCTAGGTCTTTTGCCTCTACCAGCAGCAGAGAAACCATGCTACAGGATTTTTCTATATTGTTTACGTTTGGAGAAACATTAAAAAAAAACCCTACAGGCTATGCTGAACACATAAGACTTAAAATTTCTCTACCTTACAGAGAAACCATGCTACAGGATTTTTCTATATTGTTTACGTTTGGAGAAACATTAAAAAAAACCCTACAGGCTATGCTGAACACATAAGACTTAAAATTTCTCTACCTTCTGCATGCAAATCCTCTCATCCTACCTCACTCAACCTCTCAGCAGCACTGTTACTACATTTCCTTCCTACTGGTCATAGGATGTGCCAGCTGTTGGCCTAGGCCCCAATTCCTATACACTCAGACTTCTCTTGGCTCTTGTGACACCATTCCTCCTTTAGCATCTCAAGAAAGGCACTGGAGGTTCCCTTATTGGACATCTCTCCTCTGCCAACACTCCTAAATGCTGGACCCCTGCAGAGCTGAGTCTCAGGTCCTTTTCTTGGTCACCCCATCCAACACTAAGGCTTAAATACCAGCCAGATGCAGACAACCCCACCTCCGTAGTCTCACAGAATCCCTAGTCCACACTACTGCCATTCTTCCAGCTGGTCCCTCCATTTACTCTGGTACGTTACAATAGCCTTCACAGCAAGAACCACCTCCACTTTAAAGCAGTTTTCCAACCTTGGCACTACTGACATTTGGGCTGGATAATTCTTTTTGTGGGAGCCATCCTATGCACTGTAGGACGTTTAGCAGAGTCCCTGATCTGTAGTAACCCCCAATAGTGACAAAAAAACACCCCCCAGGGGAGGGTAGGTAAAACTGCCTCAGGTTAAAAACCACTGCTCTAATGGTGGGCCTCCTGTGATGTCTAAAGATGATCCTACGTGGTCTGGGCCCCCTGCCTCTCCATACTTACCCACTCATCTTCCAGGCATTCATTCCACTCCACCCTCACCTCCCTGCTCCCAGATCCCATCCTGTTTCCTCTCTCTGGGCAATGCCCCTTCCTGCCCCTCACTACCAGCTCCTTCATGTTGGGTCTCAGTTCACTTGCCACATTAAAGGGCTTCACCAAAGATGTAAGCTCACCCTTGAGTCACTGTCACAGTATTTTCTTTACATTTCTGCAAGTATTAACCAAATTATTGAACTTATGTACTGTGCACCGTGAGCTGGATAAGCTGCTGTCATTGTAAAAGTTCACCTTATAACACAGATAACTTTGGCACCTTATTCCTTTAGCCCAGACAGCTTTGTTGAGCCTGGTATCAATGCGCACATCTGGAGTCCCCATCTCCTTCATGGCAAATTTCCGGATCTCTTTGAGTGCCCGAGGAGCACGCTTCTTGAAACCCCTAAGATTCAAACATAAGTGTCTAAATTAATTAAATCAGCACAAAATTAAATGAAATATATAGATGGCATGTCCTGTTTTTACAAAACAAATCTAATCTGAACCTTAACCTAGGGAGGAACAATCCTTTTTTCCCACCAGTAATGCCCAGCAATTGGCATAATACTTGGGACAAGTTGCACAATCTATTTTCACTGATGTGAAAGCAGCAGAGACCTGAAACGTGTGGGGAGATTTCCTCTTAAGAAGTATGATGAGAACAACAGTTAATTCTGTGAAGCTTTTGGTATGTGCCGGTCACTGTCCTAGGAGTATACTCATTCATTCATTTCTTTTTCCTGACTGGTAAGGGGATTGCAACCCTCGACACGGTGTTGTCTGCACCACGCTCAGCCAGTGAGTGCACCAGCCATCCCTACATAGGATCTGAACCCGTGGCTTCGGCACTGCACTCTCCCGAGTGAGCCATGGGGCCTGCCCACACATTTATTAACTTGTGTCTGTTCAAAACTCTGAGTTAGGTACTTGGTAACATCTTTTTTTTGTTGTTCAAGATGAGGGCACACAGACTAATTTATGCTTTCAGTTATATAAGAAATGTAAAAACACAGAACTTTACACAGGCTGAAAAGGTCAAGCACTTGGATAAGTGAAAGCCATTCCAAGTGAGACAAGGACCAAGCAGTCTATAGAGGTGCCCTATCATTCCAAGACTGCACACTGCTCTTTTGCTCTGCCTTCACCAGCCTCCTTGCTTTTTCTAGAGCCCATCAAGTAAGCTCACTTCATTTCCTCAACAAATACTTAACCATTTAGAAATAAAGGGTGCCAACAAATCCAGCAACTGGCAAAACAAAGTCCCCCTGTTCTTCACATAGCTTATGTAACTGACTCATGGAGTACACTGGACTGCATTAGGAGAAAGATAAACTAAGGAAAAGAGAGAGAGTTAAGGAAGGGGACTGCAAGTTTCAAAAAGATGGCCAAGGTGCTATTGGACTCAAGGTATGAAGGCAGTGAGGGCGACCATTCAGTTTTCTGTGAGAAAAGCATTGCAGAATGCGGGGCGGGGGGAGTAAAAATAAAGCAAAACTATTCTGAAACAGGAGCATGCCTGGTATGATAAAGAAAATAAGTGGAACACCATTGGGACCATAGCAAGAACTCTGGCTATGAACCTGCCTAAGATGGGGAGCCAAGGGAAGATCTGAGAACAGACTATGTTTAGGGTAGGGGAGGGAGCCACAGAGCTACTACTGTCACTATGAAAGAATGGCAGCAGTAGACCAGTACAATTGGTTAGACTGGCAGTGTATTCAGAAGGTACAGTTCACAGTATTTGCTAAATTGCCGGTGGAGAAAACAGGAAGGCCAAAAGAGAACAGGTTAGGGCCGGCCCAGTGGCGCACTGCTACAGTGCGCCGCTTGGGAGTGTGGCGGCGCTCCCGCCGAGGGTTCGGATCCCACATACAGACCGGCTGAGCGAGGTGCGGGCGCAACACTGAGGGTTGCGATCCCGTTGCTGGTCACGAAAAAAGACAAAAAGGAAAAAAAAAAAAAAAGAATAGGTTGGGGGTGGAGATGGAAACCAGGAGTTTGGTTTAGACCGTGCTAAGATTGAGATGCCTATTTAGACATTCAAATAGAGACATCGAACAGAAGCTGGAT